ATAAACACACAAGGAACATAAAATAACATAACTACAGTTACATGTGAGGCACATGTTGAGAATGTTTTCTTTCTTGCATCCACGGTTTTGATTTTCATAATAGCATAGATTGTACAATATGAAATATATATTAACTTGCTTAGTCTACATCAGTATTACAAAATATTATTTTTCTTATAACACATGTGGTGGTTCACTTTCAATTAACTTTTGCAGATGAATATATTAAAGCCTGGAAAGATGTTCTATTATAATGGTTAAAACTACAGTAAATAAAAAAAAAAATACAGAGGTAATAGATATAGAAACACCTTGAACCTTAATATAGAAATAAACACTGGAGGAATATGTTCATTGGTGACATACACAATCATAATTTTGTGTAATGATTTACTTGATATCATAAGTATATCATCCCTTGTGTTATATTTAGATGATATATTCACTTGGAAGCCCTTGTTGGAAGAAATGTCTAATTTAATTAAATGAACTATAGCATTATTTTAATGTAACAAACTATCAGTATTTGTTTAAAAATATGTCCAAAGTCAAAACTTTTTTTTAACAGAATAAGGATTGGTTAACACCAGTAAAGTTTATTTTTGTCAGCCTGCAAGCTGAATTAAAAAAAAATTAACTAATCACAACTAAGGATTTTAGATTTTTTTTTCTAGTCCCAGTGACAATGGTCACCCACGCAAAAAAAAAAAAAAAAAAAAAAAGCTAATGTAAAAAAGGAATAACACTGATAAAAAAGCATTCTTTGTGGTTTCTGTAACTGAGGGTGTGTCTTTTATCAAAATACTTTAAAGAGGTATCTGTTTTACCTGTTTTAGAAAAGCAAGGAAGAATGAGATATCTTGGTGCAAAATATGGGATAGTTTTTGCACACAGTACAGAAAGCAATAATTATGAGCAATGTGCACTAATCAATAGTAACCAATCTGATTTATATTGCTGAAGTCAGACTCTTGAAGGATTACTCAGAAATAGTTGGTTTGGATTATTTCACTTTTTACATAGTTTGTTAGCATATTAAATAAGCACAATAATATATATGTTCTACGGAGTTCTATAGGGGAAACAGGATAGACTGATATACAAGTAATAATGTATGACATTGTCATATTGCTATACTTACCATACAAACCATTTATCTCTTTACACCTTTATATAAATATCTCAAAATAGCTGATCATTACAAAAAAAATACAAACTGGAAAAATGGGCAATTGACAGATTCCCCTTATTTAAAAACTAATGAACATGTATTTATATATATATATATATGAAGACAAAAGTTGTGAAAGAACAAAGCTTCACCACAAATTGGTCTACACAGTTATCCAACCCTTTATAAATAGCTTTCTTGTGTTGCCACAAAAATAATACATAGAATATTATTTATAATCATTATAATAGATATTTGGTTTTGTTGTTCTGGTTTTTATTTTAGCATTTCTTGGTTTTTTTTTTTTTTACTTCAGTTTATCTTTAGTTATATTGGGACCACTGATTTTGGTGCCCAGCACCAGGTTACCATTTTTTATTCCTTAGGTTGTTGATTGTAGTATGTGTTCTCCTTTCTGTTTGTGGTCTTCAGATGCAAGACTCTTCACTTTTAGACACAGGGGTTGATTTACTAAAGGCAAATAGATTTTTCTTGCACTCATCAAGAGCAGTTGCTCCAGAGCTTAGTAAATGAGCAGAAGCTGACTTCCATCATCCAATCATGTGCAAGCAAAAAAATGCCATTTTTAAAAAAAATTTCCTTACACATCATTGGGTATTCTTTGCAAAGTGAAGCTTTACCTCATTTACTAAGCTCTGGAGCAACTTCGCTTTGAAAAGTGCAGTCTATTTGCCTTTAGTAAATCAACCCCTTAATGCCTTACTCCATGATTTCTTCACTCAATCCACCCAGCACTTTGTCATAGCAGTGGATCTAAATCCTCCAATGGACTTCAGTCTTCCACCCTAAATGGATTGTGAAGTCATTTGCTCTGACTTTGGTACACTATCTTGTTATAGGTACTTTTTGAAACACAAAATTATCTGTGGTCTTGTACTCACCTCTTCCCCCATGTGTTTGCCTTTCCCCCTCTCTGGAAACCACATCTTGATATATGAATCTTTATTGTACTCTCTTCCTTAACTAGTTACAATTATCCTAAATTGTGACTAAATTTAATGTTATATATAATGTGAAAGGCCCAGTCTCTACTGTTAACTGACACAAAATCCTACATGTACTACAGCATCATTAGGGAAATAAACTTGTTTTTGACTTGTCCATGTCTACTTATGTTCACTTTCTGCCTCTCATATCGACCTTGGCTCGGATTACTGAACTCGGTTCTTCCTAGTGAATCTGTACCTTGCTGCCTGATTTTTGCTGATTTCAGCCTGTTCCTTACTCTGATTCTACTTACATCCTGGTATGCTTTCACTTGGCTAACACTTGAACAAGTCTGGAACTTGACTCCACCTTCAACTGGACTTTGTATCTCCACAGTGTACTTCTACTCATCAGATACCAGCTCACTCAAGTTTCTGCTCACACTACACCTTGGTACTTATGCCTTTCTTTTGTCCCTGCAGACCAAGTCTTAACATCCAGGGGTACTCAGGCGGGAACTGTGCAAGAGCCACCCTAGTCATCTCAGGCTCTTCATACAGGTATATGACACATATATAGACCCAATTTTTACTACCTTACTTTTTTGCTATGTATTACACAAACACACCTCTCTCCAGAAGGCTATGACCATTTCTGTATGAACTCCATTTTAGTTTTTTTTTCCTTTAATTTGTTACATAATTATCTACTCCACTTGAAAGAAAGCAGTGATTATGCCCTATTGTATTCAATTGCAAATGTATAGATGGCTTACAACCCACATGGCAGAGACTATATATATTTTTCATTTCTCCATGCACTTATACCGAATCAATATGTCAATATGTTTTTTAGGAACAACAGTTTTCTTGATAAAATGAAAGGGGCTAATATCCCTATAATCCTAGCAGATCATGCTCCTGCCTCATTGCTTATCTCCTAGGGCTTTCCTCTCCATAAAATGTTTAAATAAAGGCTTTTTTGAGTCATTATCAAACAATCTCAATTCTTCTGCTTTTCCTTTAAAAAGTCTCATAAACTACATTATTGATGATCGAGGAAATGTATTTTCTTGTATTTTGTGGGAATCTCCAAAGGCCCATAGTAGGGGTCAGATGGTATCTCAGTGCTCAAAAATGAAATGAAAACATTTCTAGTACATCAAGAAGTTCTCTTTCAGGTTAGCAAATTGGAGCATCTACATAAAGAGTCCCTTGCTATGCAGCATCTACATCAATTTACCGAGTGGTGCTTAGAAAGCTATATACAGTATGCATATAACTGATTACCATAGTTATTTTATCAGTTTTGAAACCGACATTAAAGGTTTCTATGACAATTCTGGGCAAAAATTGATCCTGTAAATTCCCAAGGAAAAATTGAATTACAATATACTTCACAGATAACAACCTCATAGTCAATAGGGAACTCCTCAAGGCTCTACAGTTTGAAATTACACTAGCCCACTTGCAGTACACAAGCATACACTAAGCAACATGAGTCCAGGGCTAGATAGGTTTATTACAAAATTAATTTGTACAAAATGTTTGCTAATATATGAAGTATGTGAGCACACATTCACCACTTAATGGCCCTGTAATCCATTTTTCATTCAATTGCCTCTTACTGTGTTTTTTTTTGTTTTTCCGCTTCCTTGTACTGTTCTCTATAAAGTTCTAAACCTCTTCTTTTCCGGCTTACTTCCATTTGTTTGTAATGTGGAGTGCACGTTAGTTATGGTCATGAGCACTGCTCTATGATCATTATAAATGCCATATTCCCTAGTTCACATTTGCCATGTTCCGTAATTCACCTTGCGAACAAGGAAGGTTTAGTGGTTACTTTCCTACATACAGTGGGACCATTGATTATGATCATAGCCATTCTCTAACAAGAATTCAGATGACAACAGCAAAAAACATAAAATATGCAGATTTAGAGGAGGCTGAGGGTGATTTTTTTAGAGTTTAGTGTCACATAAATGTTTATAGGAGATTTTAGTAATTAGGTTTTCCTTCCCTTTCAAGGAATGGTTTTATGCATTGGTTTTAGAAAAGTATAGTACTGCTGTAAGTAAAGCAAAGAATTGTGTAAAATGTGCTTATCTACAAGGTTTGATTTAATAATGACAATAAGCTGTTTACTTTGTAAGGGAACTTTCCCTTAACTTAATGAATAAGGTGAAACTCTGCTGACTTCCATCATCCAATTACGTGCAAGCAAAAATACCATTTTGTATTCATTGCTTGTGATTGGGTATTCTTTGCAGAGTGAATTTGCACTGCATTCTCTAAGCTAAGATAATGTTAGCTTGCAAAGTGAACAGCCTATTTGTCTTTACTAAATCAACTCCATTGCGTCTAGTAGGAAATCAACTTGCAGTGATATGAATTCAATAAATCAAATCTAATTGGTTGCAATGGTTTGCTGGACACTTTGCACTTACAGTACATGAAAGAAACACATACTGCATTGAGCAGTATTTTCTTGCAATTGGGGAAGAGAGAGAATTAAATACATTTTGTAAAACATTAATTTGTTTATTAAAACCCAACTCTGGGCTACTTTTTAAAATAGTCCACTTGGAGGTATAAAACAATAAGAAGCTTTGGCTGTAATACTTACCGCCTTTTTTGTCTTGCCCCCTGCTGCCCATCATGAAACCAGCCTAAAGACTTCTGGGAAATGTAAGTATAAAATGAAGAAAGTAGATGCATGTGGAGGCTGCTGGGGAAGGGGTAGAACTAAGTGAAGGACGAGTCTGGAATTGAACATTAAATATAATTTTAACAAAGTGTGGTTACAGTTTATTAGAAAAAATGTAAACCCTTCCTATATTTTAGTGGTTTATGGCAAATATTAGGTCTGTTTGCTTTGCATGTTATGATGAAAGATTCCCAAAGATTTTCCAAATGGTTTTAGCATTTTTGACCTCCTGGTTTCTTAATGTGTAGATAATAGGATTTAGTAGAGGTGTCAGTACTGTATACAACACAGACACCAACTTGTCTGCTGCATTGTTCACTGGTGGTCTCAAATAGATAAATACGGCTGGTCCAAGGAAGAACGTAATAACAAGGAGATGGGCTGCACATGTAGAGAACTCTTTACGTCTCCCTTCTGAAGAATAGATCTTTAAGATTGTAGTTATGATGCTAAGGTAGGAGAATAACAACACCACAAAGTTCACTGAGTAACACCACAAAGTAACTGAGTGAACTGAGTGAAAACACCCCACTGTTTGCTATAATAAATTTATCAATAAAGAAGGTGTCAGAACAGCCAAGTACAGCTACTAGGTGGATATCACAGAAGAAGTGGTTAATCTTGTTTGGACCACAGAATGACAGCTGGTAGGTGAGAAAAGCCTGGGTAAAGGAATGGAAGAAGCCTGCTAGCCAAGTACATGCCACCAGACAACAGCAAAATTTGAAATTGATGACAATGTGATACTTTAGTGGACTACAGATAGCCACATAGTGGTCAGTCAGAAGGAAGCATTCTGTGCCACCAAATACGGTAAATCAAGGAAAAATAGCTGCAATATGCACTGGTTAAAGGAGATAGTCTTTTGATTTGAGAAGGCAGTAACCAGCATCTTTGGGATGGTAATTGTTGAATAACACATGTCCAAGAAAGATACGTTGCTGAGAAAAAAATACATAGGTGAATGCAGATGTGGATAAACGTGGACATCTGTCATGAGTCCCCACGCATGGCTAATGTGTAAGGTAAAGTCTACGACTTGGAAAAATCTGTATGTAAATGGGTAGAAATTTGTCTAAAAGATTGTATTCAGAGAGTAGTGGTTAATGATTCATACTCTGAATGGTCTAGGGTTGTCAGTGGTGTACCCCAAGGTTCATTGTTGGGACCCTTACTTTTTAAATATATTTATAAATGATATAAGGTTTGAGATTAAAAATACCGTTTCATTCTTTTGCACCAAGCTGTGCAGTGGAATAACGTCTTTGCAGGATGTCTCCAATTTACAAGCCGACCTCAATGCACTGTTTAATTGGGCAACTATGTGGCAAATGAGGTTTAATGTTGATAAATGTAAGGATATGCACTTGGGGGCTAAGAATATGCATACATCATACATACTAGGGGGGGTACAACTGGGGGAATCAATGCTGCAGAAGGATCTGGGAGTTCTGGTAGAACAGAAGCTTAATAATGGCATGCAATGCCAAGCTGCGGTTTCTAAAGTGGGCAAAATCCTCTCTTGTATTAAATGAGGTATAGACTCCAGAGAGAGAGATATCATATTACCCCTGTACAAATCATTAGTAACACCTCATCTGGAATATGCAGTTCAGTTTTGGGCACCAATTCACAAAAAGAACATTGGGGAACTGGAGAAAGTACAGAGAAGGGCAACCAAACTGATAAGAGGCATGGAGGAGCTCAGCTATGAGGAAAGATTAGAGGAACTGAATTTATTCTCTCTTGAGAAGAGGAGATTAAGGGGGGATATGATCAACATGTATAAATACATCATTGGTTCATATAGTGAACTCGGTGTAGAGTTATTCACCCTGAGGTCATCACAAAGGACAAGGAGGCACTCTTTACATCTGAAGAAAAAAAATTTAATCTCCAAATATGGAAAGGTTTCTTCACAGTAAGAGCTGTGAAATTGGAATAGACTCCCTCAAGAGTTGGTTATGGCCAGCTCAGTGGATTGCTTTAAAAAGGCCTGGATTCTTTCTTGGATACACATAATATAACATTTATAGGTAAAGTTGATCCAGGGAATATCTGATTGCCTCTCAGGAGATCAGGAAGGAATTTTTTCCCTGCAGGAGAAAATTGGTTCATTCTTTACTGGGTTTTTTGCCTTCTTCTGGGTCAACTGTGGATGCAGGATTATAGGTTTTTTTTTTACGGTTGAACTGGGTGGACTTTTGTCTCTTTTTAGCCAGACTAACTATGTAACTATGAGAAGGTTCCCTGATAAGGTCATCAAACACAGGGCCAGAAACAAGACAAAGAAAATGACCTGAGCTTCATGTGAATGAGAGTGACCACTAAGGATGAAATCTGTTACAAAACTTTGATTTTGAAGATCCATATTCTCCTGCCAGCCTAACAGGAAATTAAGAAATTATAAAAAATAAAGTCAGTAAAGAAAGAACATATCGCCAACATTATATTTTTCATGTTTACACAACATAACATATTTGGGAATGATTCCATTATTTGTATAAGGCTATAGTAATATACTATATTCATATTTAATTCCTGCCATGTTATTTATTGCTTTAGATTTCCAAAGTAGTGTTTTTATTGGACAGTTTTCTTCGCTGCATAAAATGAATATTTTATACTTCAAAATATATATACTATTCTTAATAAAGAAGACAGAAATTAGCAAAACTAGTATTCTTTGTTCCTTGAATGGTGTACAGTAAAGTGAAATGTTATTGTTTTCCATGGGTAGTCGCACTTTGCTAATCACCTTTTTCCTGTATATCTTTAAACATAAACCTAAAAATCAGTATATAATACTGGCATGGGGCTGATTTACTGAAAGAGTAGAATGATAAAACACTGCTCTGTTCACTTCAATCATCCAATCATGTGCAAGGGAAGTCTATATTTTTTTAACTTTCTCTCCATATTGAAGGGTATTTGAAGAGTACAAAGTGTCATTGAGCTATGTGAACATTACTAAAATCAGTCCCTGTCTGTTTACTAGTATTTGTAAAGTATCGTTTGATTGTAGGTAATGTACCTTATATCTATAATTTTCACTGGTTCAGAATTTAAAAATATAGGTAGACAAAATCGAAAAAGACGTCTAGTCCTTAATGCATTGGACAAAAATAGAAACATATAATACTGGTATATTAGGGGAAAACAACAACTTGTACTCTATGAAGACTCATGAGATGTATGGCATCATTTTGGCCTAGGCCAGCAACCAGGAATCAATTGAAGAAATGTAAAAAAGAAGGTTAAAACAAAAAAATATAATATATTTTCCTATCTATTTACTAATGATAGCTGCCCAAGTATTACAAAGGGTTAATGTTAATTGAGAGAGTTTAGTTTCACTTTAAAGCTAGGAAGTTAAGTACTTTATAGATCTGAGAAATTAATTCCTTGGCTAAAGGACCTGCCAGGCAAATTTTTTCAAATGTTGTCTGTTTAAAGAACAGCATGGATTTGATTAAGGAATGAGCATAGTGGTGAATTTGTAAACAGCTATATAACGCTTAGAGAGGTTATAAGCATTTTGGAGTTCTTGGAATGAGCGTAATGCTCTAGTTCTAACATCCACCAATTGACCAAAGTGAAACAAGGCGTTATCTTTCCAAAAATGAGACATCTGTGAGGTTAAGCTATCTTGGATATTGGGAGTAAACAGAAAAGAAGTTGCTAAAGAGGCTGTAGTGAGAGAGTATTGTTGCTTAGCTCATTGCCATAGAGTGTGTACAAGTTATATAGGTCTTAACAAATTAAGTGTATCACTGCATCACTCCTCCACAACAGAGTTAGGGTGAATGGGGGCCATCCATGACTTCTCTATTTTGGCCTAGCTGCTATAAGAGTGTAGAGTGTACGAAGAGGCTATGAATCTCAGCTGGGTATCCAAGTAGTATTTGGCAATATTCAGAAAAGCTAGGCACCTTTGTCACATGGAGCAAATAGAAAAGATTTGGCGTTTATAACTCCAGAGAAAATTATGTTAATTTGACGTTTTTTTTAGGATGAGATGCAGGTAGTGGAGTTTTGGTAAGATAGACATTTTAATGGTTGCAATGCGGTCAAGAAAAGGAATATGATGGGGTTTCAACTGAGAAAGGAGTGTATAATTATTAATGTATAAAGGAGGTAGACCCTGATGAAGTCACGTGTGCCGTGACGCAACGCGTAGGTGAAGCAATTTCCGGCGCATCTTTATGCTCCACATGAACCCATGCAAGTACAGCCATAGCATGAGGTTGTAGAGGCTTACTATGTACTGGAGAAATGTGAGTTTGATGGCTTACATTGTCTTTTACTGCTAAATAAAACAATATTACACCATAGAGGTTCTCTTTTTGTATGGATTCTGAGGGAGCTGGCCATACCTGTTATAGCCTAAGGGGAGTTTTGGAGGTGATCCTGACCTGGAAAAGCTCATATATATTTACCTGATGCGAGGTTCTGGTCTGCATTGGATACTAATAAGAAGAGCATATACTTGGAGGATCCAGGAGTGATCCCAAAAGCTATTAGGCCCTTTTATGATCACGGTAAGAAGGTGAGGAGCCAATTTAGATATTTTGGATACATCACCAGAGACTGCTACGCACAGGACCACTTGCATGCGTTTGGAACACTGATGCCACATATATTTCTGTTGGACTTTTTATATTGTTTCCTAATATATTTTTATATATATTTTCTAGTTGTAGTTGTGAGTGTATTATACACGATATATTGGAGTGTTTCTAGCACGGAGCACTTTTTTGCACTATATTTATCCCCCAGTGCTGGGATCACATGTGTGTCTCACCATTTGTGTTATTTTGATTTTCACTAATGTCCATTGAGATTTGCATTTATTATCACTTTCATTTGTATTTTTTGATCACTATTGGTCCAGTAGAGACCATCGATATATGTTATATATTCACTAAGTATATATAATTTATCACTTTGAGATTTTATTAGGGACATATCACTGTCAATATTATCATAGGATATATATATGTTTAGAGCGCTACATCATTTTTGTTTCATTTCAGTTATTTCACTTACAGGTAATAAGTTATAGGTGGTAGCAGCCTCATCCGTTAGTAGCTATAGTTATCCTTAGAGCACAGGAGGTTCTTATTATAAATTAAAAGCGATTTTAAAGGTTTTTTTTTTTTTTGTAAAATAACAAACATGTCTATACTTACCTGCTGTGTGCAGTGGTTTTGGACAGAGCAGCCTGGAACCCCCTCTTCTCGGGTCCCCCACAGGCTGTCCTGGCTTCTCCTTTCTTGTTATGGGGGCACCCGCGGCTCCGTGTGTCCATTCACACACAAAGCCGCAGCTTGGCCCCACCCCTCTCTCTCCTCATTGGCTGACTGGCTGTGATACACAGCAGATGGAGCCAATGGCTTCTGCGTGCTGCCTCAGCCAATGAGAAGGCAGAGACCCGGGACAGCCGATGCTGTCATGCACATCATTGGATTTCGATGGGGCTCAGGTAAGTATTGAGGTTGCTGTGGGCACTGCTGCACATAGAAGGTTTTTTACCTTCATGCATAGAATGCATGAAGGTAAAAAACCCTGAGCCTTTACAACCACTTTAATTCCTAGGTATTTTAGTGTTGAAGTTTTCCATGAACAAGTAAAAGGATTGAGATAAATGCCATGTTTGTTGTGCTACATTAAGGGGAAGGGCTTTAGTTTTTGAATTATTTATTTTATAGCCTGAGATTTATAACCACTAGCAAACCTGGCTACACACTCCCCCCACCAAAAGTCTTTGGTCCTCAA